GTACAGTTTTCAGGTGAGCATAGATTCTGTACAGGAAGCGCAGTATGGTTTGTCGTGGGCCCAGGCGGGTTGCGTCAGAGGGTTGAGTGGATTTGTGCTGGCCATTGAGTCGAGTTGTATTCCCAGGCAACCTTCGAAGTAGTCCCCGAATGGTCGCGCGGGGAGCAGGCCACAAAAGCGGAGTACGGTTGTTTGATGTTTGGGAAACCTAGGGTATTTAGTGCCCGTAATGATGGCTGCAGCTTGGATGAGTGCTGAGTTATAGCGCTCGAACAGGGGGTCCAACGCATCCTTCGATGTAGGCGGAGCCCAGGCAATAATGTTCAGGCCATATTTAGCCGTGGATAGGATGAATGTTTTGAACAGCACCATTCGGTTGAGGGGGTGTCGCCAGCTGAAGTCATGGAAGCCATAAGCGCGGAAAGAGGCGATACCCAGAGACAATGCTGCAACCAGGGATTCCATATGTCTGGCGAGGTTGATCCCTGGTATTCCGTGAGAGAGTGCGAACCCCAGATATTTGGAGCGTTTCGGCGGGCGTCATCTTCAGGGGGAGGTAACGTGTGTTCTAAGGTGCGTCTGCGAGCGTCGGGGTGATATGCTCTCCATTTATACAGAGGGTTGGCGCCGCGTATCGCAAGTCGGTAGATCGCACTCGGGGTTTAATGACACCCTGTTCGAGGCCAGATTTGCGTCCCGACTCATCAATGTCGTTTAAAAAGGGCTGGAGCGGAGCCGGTTGGGGGGCTTAGATCCATGTGTCATCGACAAATAAATACAAGCGGAGGAGCTTGGGCCGAAATTGTGCTAGCGTGACAGCTAAGGAATTTATGTAGATAATAAAGAGCTGGGGCCGACGATTGAGCCTTGTAGGATGCCATTTGTTCTATGGAATAGAGTCGAGAGCATGCAGCGGTATGTCACTCGGGTAGGGACCCTCTGAAATAGCGCCCAGAGGCAGTTGATACACTTTTCGGGCATCCCAGCGTGGTGCAGGAGTACCCATATGCGTGGGAGAGCAACTTTGTCGTATGCCTTGGTAATGTACAGACAGACGTCGTTCCACTCCTCTTCTGACTGTGTCTCAGATTCCATGGCGGCGAGTGCTTGGGTATGACAGGAGTACCGTGATTTGAAGCCAGCTTGGGTAGCATGGGTAGCAGAGCCGGGGTGGCTCGTAATCAGCTTAAGAAAGCACCTTTCAAAGATGAATCTGACTATTTGCGTAAGCGTGATAGGGCGGAAATCGGCAGGGGAAGTGATATCGGCATCGGCTTTCTTTGGGGGCGCTGTCAGAAGGCTGCATTTCAGGGCTGCAGGGAAAGTACCCGCATTCAGTAGCTCAGTGAATACTTCGGCAAGGAGTCTAATCAGTGGGCTATTGACGTCGGGGCGTCCTAATGTCCTGCGTTCGGCGAATCGATTCACTGCGGCCTTGGGGAGGAGCCTCACTGGGATAGCGTAGCATAGCATCCATTACATCGTCGGGGCGTATGGTGGAAATGCCATCGGGCGAGGGTTCGGTATCCGGTGGGACCACGTACGGGTTTGTAGAGTTGAATAGGTCCTCAAAGTAGCCAGCGAGGGTGGCGCCTGTGTCATCGACACCCGCTATGCAGGGTTGGCGCGGAGACCGTTGTTGGTACGCAATATCTTTGAACATTTGAGCATTCCTTTAGGCGGTCAGCCGTGGGCGGAACGAGTGGTTTGGCAGCCGCTGAACCCAGGGTCTGTGTAAGTCATAGTAGAACCCCCCGAATACTTGTGGGTTAGCTGCATAGCGTCAGATGCGGTCGAGGATCCGTAACAGCCCTTCCGCTGGTCCGTACAAAGTGAGATACGACCGTAGTAGGTTCTGATGCGCCCGGATTTCGGCTTGGAATAGTCGCGTGCGGAATTTGTTGCATAGGTGATACAGTCGATGGCGGTATTGGTTTATATCCACAAGAGAGGGGGGGTGTTGATCCGGAGGCGGCGGCATTGTTGACATTTGTTGGGGCCGATGGATTTGATTCGTTGGAAGTATCTGGAGATCGAGTCCAAAGGTGTGATCACCACAGATACCGTAGTCCGTCAGCTTATAGGTCTGGAGGGAGGCGGGGGTGGTAGGCCGATGATACGCATGTTCTGTACCAGCATAGAGGTAGTCCAAGTGCCACATATTACGCAGGGTAGTCTCGATCATTTTCATACGTAGTCCGTGATTTGTATATGCGAGGCCATACTTCCGGGCTTTGAAGTTGAAATCTCCCCAAACGACATCTGGTTGGAAATTGCCAATATCGGGAGGATTCATGTATCGCCTGACGTCTTCTTCAGTAAGTGATTTGAGTGGAAGGTAGAACACGGCCATATCAACGCCAAAGCACTCAAAGAACACCGCGTACGGCGAAGAGTGTACAAGTTGAAAATTCGATGGGTGGTGTTTGGAAAAAATGCCAATACCACAGTGTGAGGGGTATAAGATATTATGCCGTGTAATGTGATGTCGAATACGGTAGTATGTGTTCGAGCGTATATGATTAAGAAATTTGGTGTTATGTCAGGTTTCAACCACACACATAGCATCACTCTGACTTAAAATCGATATAACGTTCAAACACTTATATGTACGTGCTGCGTTGTCCATGTTGAGTCCTTGTGGGATGAAAAGCGTCATCCTCATTGGTCCTAACATTGTTCAATCTCGGTCAACACTACTGGGCTCTCATCCTTATCGATGTCAGCCATTTCTATATCGTTGCCTGTCTTCGAAGAGTCTGTCGTGGAAGGTTGAGGCTGCGTATTGGTAACCATCGTGTCGGATGATTGTGTCGGGAAGACCGTTGGTACATGAAGTCGTCCGGGTGGCGTACGCGCTGGTTTCTTAGCGTTTGCCGGGATTCACGGATTAGGTGAGAAGAGGTTTGCATCATGTTTTGCTTGGTAAGCCTTTTGGAGACGGTCCGTGGTAGATTGGAGGATGTCTGCGATAGTGGAGTTGACAAGTGGGCTCAGTAGTGCATCCATGCTGCGGGCAAGAATCTTCGGCGCTCGTTCATGTGTGCAGCGGGCCTCCCGCTTGGTGCGGAGATAGTGGATTAGGGCTGATTTCGTAGCGTCAGGATGTTGTTGGGAGCGGGGGTCGATGTTTTCATCAAGTTGCCATTTCCACGTAAGTGCTGCATGTCGTTTTACCTGGGCGACAGCGTCGCTAGGAACACAAGGGCGGACGAAACTGAAGGAGCTTCCGCGGTGATTTGGTTGAGATACCGGTTTAGACGGGAGATACCAGAGAAAGTGGTGGCGATTGAGGAGTGGATGGGCATGTCAGTATTTTTCAAATACTGATCGGGATGGAGGCTTGCCGTTAGGGAGTCTACATACGGCGTTCAGAAGGATAGATACCTAGCACATGAGTGCGCGGTACTGATGTACAATATTTAAATAAAGGATTGCATGTGGTCGAATTAATATATCTCCGAATTTGTAGGCTATCTAGTTCATGCTAAGTGTGCCGCTACTTGCGAACGATACCAGCCAGACAAAATTTACAAATAGGAATGGCAGGCTCCCTACACAAGTGATTGTTTATCTGCTAAAACGTTAACTATAGCAACGTGAATGAATCTTATCATAGTCGTGAATATGGGCTATAACTATGTGTTATATTAATTTACTGCCACTGATAAAACCAAAGGATCAGAAGGGTAAACATATTAATACTATTACTATACTAAAAACAACTGTTGAGATTTCTGGCGATTTGATGTGCAAACCAAACAATACCGTACACTAAATTGTATTGTAATTTTATTGATCATTATTGATATACATCAGTGTCTAAATCATCATTAGTTTCACTTTTCAGTTCAATAGAGTCACCAGCATTTGAATGATTACGTACAAGCTCCCCGTGCTCATTTAAGGTGTCGGTCATATACGCCTATTGTGAAGGTGAGAATTTTGACAACATGAGATAAAACAAGACTCGGATTGAGCTCAGCGATTTAAAGAAAACAGCGCTACTAACAGAACCCCATGTATTACTAGAACAAATATACTTACAGTATAGACAGCGTGTAAAGTCAGACACCACACTATTTAAATTCCATAGTCCATACTAATACAAGAAAATGAATTTCATTCTCTATATACATATAAAACGCGAACGCCAATATTTAGTTAGTAAGTTCATCATACTAACTTCCGCAAAAATCCCATCGAATTTGTGAAGGTTTACGTCTAGGCAGACAATAATGCAAACTGCAAGAATACTGAAAAATGACATAAATAGTATAAGAGATATCTTCAACACGAGCGGTGCGTGCACAAACCAAATAGCACAAGTGTTCGTAATAATTCGTGCAAGGCTGCAATTGAAGTTACATATTAGCAACTTGTAGATTCATAAATACAAAAAGGTTCTTGTAAATAAAACCCTTATATTCAGAATGTACACATGTAAGCTCGCATCTGACATAAGAAACACCAGCATAGAATGTAGACATACTTACCTCCAATGATTCATCATCGATTTTGTGATATCAAATACTCACATAAAGACTCGGAGTGTATGATATTGCATGGTATATACAAACTCGAACATACATACGTGACGCATGCTGATATGATTAGAGTTTGTTTTTAACAACATAAAGGAATCAAAGAGGTGTTTTGGCGGCCCTCAATATGAACGGTAATTGCTAGAAAATAAGGTACGTGTAAAACTTCATACGTGAGATGATCTATTTGTACAAATCTTGGCCCCTCTCACACACATGTATTCAGAAGGGCTCCTCCAAGCACGGCAGGCAATTCTTAATTCAACGAATGAAGTAAACTACAAAACATCGGCGAGTTCGCAATCTACCGCAACGCTAGTCGCAACCAGATTAACTTAGGGCGATAAACGCTCGCTTCAATAATGGGTCGATATTGAGATCAAATATGAGTCGCCACAGTATAAAATAACTTACATCGGGCAGCAGAACGAAAGTTAACGGAATGCACATCAAGGGAAGCACCATATGGGATATCACTATCAGAGTAGTGAGGTGGGTAAAATCGCATGGAATCTGCGTGCGGATGTCAAAGTAATTCATCATCGCCACTCCAATCGATGAGGACACAGTCTGTGAAGATAAGCCAATCAGCAATGTAAGAATAGCCACCTTTACTGGTGACAAAGATGGATACTTCACCGCAGCTACTACTGCCATTACCTGACTCACGACGGTTCTTGAAACAATTTGAAATCCCGCATCAAATACATATAATCAACGTTCACTCGTCGTACCTCTGCAAATTTGCACATGTGCAAATATTCATAGGCAAATGAAGATATATGCCATATCCCAGGTGACGCAGTGCGGAGGCATCAGAATATAGAGAGGAAAAGGAAACAATCACACCTGCCGGCACTCGCAGCCATAACTTAAAAAGACGCATCTCGTGAAAACTACATGTGAACGACAATGTTTGTGCGGTACATACACTCCCAAAGTTCTGAAATCCCGCCAGCAAGGCATAAACTGTCGACTCGATATTTTTAGGGCACATTTTGGTCGTTAGGACGACAGCCGCCATGAATTCGAGCATCCCTGAGTATCGATCAATATTAATAGATGCAGGTCGATTAAAATAAGTGGTAATAGTTGCAATTTACCGTTCGGTGTGTTTATACACTCACTGCAAAGCTTGACATACCAGTAAAACTATATTGCACAATGATGCAATAGCAGTTTTGCACTCCCTGCATTCACTTCACCACAAACGCAATATCTTGTACTTGTGGAAATTGTAGTCGAGAGACACTACATATGCAGGACATGCACTGCGCAATTCGTCATCGACATAATATTAAATAAGTAACCGGCGAATATGAGCATGAAAAAAAATTACATCCAAGTTAAAAATTCGATGGATTTAGTACAGAAAACCAACAACTTTCTTTTCTTAAAGTGTATCTTGATGCCATGCTAATTTCAGCGAAGCCGAATGAAACTGAAGAGGGTATATGGCGAACATTTTGCGGACTCACATAAGATTGTCAGTACCAGGAGATTCGAGAATGAGGAGTGAGCGCATATACGAGTATACGAAGGTATCGCCTATGTACATAATATTCATCGTTTACAAAATAAGTATAGGCTATAATTTCAGTTTGTTATGCACAAGTGCACGCAGTGGACACGTTTTTTTTGACGTGCTGTCGTTGAACGAGTCATCCTCGAAGCAGGGCGTTTCAAATTTGAAGCCATGATTGATGTGCAGTTATGCAATGAAGCCATACCTATCACCTGTGGGGTTCGGATGGGGTCGAATGTGTGTCTTGATGAGTTGCCCCTCAATTCATAGCAGAAAACACAATATGACGATGTATAACAGCTCAAGTATTGCTAAAACTTTACATCATAGATATGTACATTGGTTAGTAATGTCATGACAACACAGTATAGCAGTTTAATGCCTTACACCCCCCCCTTCCCCCTCCCCCACCCCCCGGGGCGTCAGTGAACCATTCATTAAACACTCGAACTAAGTCAAGGTGTACGTTCACAATGCGTGGCTATGGTTCATTACAAACTATTAAAAGAATCGACGATATAGACAGGTGTAGCAAATCGTGTTTAGTCAGACAATGGCTATTTCTAACCAAACAACTATGCACTATCAAATAGTGCCTCGAAGGTTCAACCCTAACAAACTCAAACTACAAAAAACTATATCGTACATGTGCCTGCAGCTCAACAAAGACACGTATAGTATTACAAGAAAGAGTGTAAACTCAGCATCAAAACCATAAGCTTACGAGAACGACACTATCGAGCACACATGACAAATCTATAATACTATTATACATTTTTGCCATTGTTAAAGCTTCTTCTTGCACGAATAAGCGTCTCACTTTCACTACAAACCTGGTAGAGAGAATTATAGCCGACCATGTACATCATCTTGTCTGATATCCCTATAATCTAAAAGATGTTTTAAAAGGAAGCACGTGATTAGTACTTATAAAGCCCAATCAGTTCGTTGGCACAAACACGTCAGGTATAAGCGATATATACAAGGGAAACCCCTATGTTAGATTGAATTTTTACAAAAATATAGCACGGAAGTCTCATTTGTCAACATTTTAAGAAATGCACAACTGCGGTTGAAAAGTCACACAAATTCAGGCCCAAGCAAACATTTCAATCTTTACGATAAATAGTGAGAGCACCGGTGTACCAAATTCCATCGGTTCACTATGATGATATCCACCGTAGCAGCAACCCCTCGAAGCAATACTGTCACCCAGAACACTCTTCGGAATGGCCAGTGTGACAGGAAGGTCTGGAAAAAGAGTACGCCCACCGCACCAAACACCGATTGTGCTATGGACGACCATGTGTAATAGTAGACGTCGTCGAACTGGGGACCACCCGGATTACACTCTGTGGCATATGAAAATAATAGATCATATTGAAAGAACATTATTAGATCCGTTTGTATCAGGTATCTACATGACAATTACATACTCTTAGATATAGACAATATGACAGATTTGATTGGATGTTCATCTGAATCGAAAGTGATACTATCCTTCTTTAATATCCACTGTCAAAAGGTAGACATATTAGATCATCTTCATATCGAGCGGCAACAATTAGAAACAGAAACAAACATGGGCATAATCTCAATGTCGATATCATACAATCTATTGGTGCCTATAATACCTTTATCGGCCAGGTAAAAGTAGTCCAGAGCACCTCCCAGGTTGATATAACTAGCGGCTAGCAGGAACTGTAAAGAATCGATAGCATGTTCAAACACTGCATAGGTGTTGGATGGCTGTTGATATAATGCCCAGTACTTTACAAATGGTGTTCACCTTTGAGCTGAGCCATGATCGTGATGCTCTGCAATAAGCATTCCAAGATGCAATTCGAAAACGCGACCAACAGTTCATATGCATCGTGACAACTTAGGAACAAACGGCCAAATGCTATTTATAACAGCTTCAGTGGCGTGAAACTAGCAATAACGTATAAAATTTAGCAAATAAGTAGAACGAAGTGGGCTGGCGTATCAGGTCCGAATACCCAGTTAGTCTACATATAGTCTGGGCGAAAAGAATATAGGTTCACTGTTCTCTTGAGCTTGGTTCACAATATTCAACTCTGACTTCCCTGCTCATTTTGCAAACAGCCAACATCACGCCGTCATGTTTCCAAAATGTGGCATGAGGAAAGTACGATTAAGAAATTCCACATACTACTATGACATTTGCAAAAATATATCATACCAAGAATAAATTGCTGAGCGCGAGATTGCGAGGCATCACACTGAAGGAGGCTACAACCATTAATGTAGAACTGGTCAGCGCGTAACTGTAATAGATTGAAAAGCGTATTGGTATATGATATATTTTGTATCACATACACGCACTACCAATCCAAGTAGCTCAAGATCGGTGCATGATGCAAATTGCACTTCCACTGATCAAACAAGTATGCGTTATTTATATAATCAATAGAATTCGACGCATATCGGGAAAAATCATACGCTCGCACAATGTAACTTTGAGACGAAAACCCCGTTGTAGTTAAGTACGAAAAGCGAGCATGTAATCAGGCTCTTTAAAAGTGTCATCGACACGAAATAGTTAAGCCCGAACTATAACAAACCAATAAAGGATATTTTCTCGTCGATGTGATATTACTGAACGACCAACGGCGGACAGAGAATACACTAACAGGATAGATTCACAACATACACAAGCGTCAAAGGTTCGTAGGCTATCATATTGCAGATCCCTAAGCCCATTGCTGCAACAGCCATTCCGATTGCCAGTAACAAAATCTTTTTATGTTTTAACATTTTCCCGATCTGTGGACCTCTACTGTTCTTTGGGAGTCGTTTCTCGGGCAGGTAACCCAGAAGTGTAGGTATCGCGACTTGAGCTGTCATGTATAATTGCAAAGAAATGTAAGTCAATGCGTGAAACAAAGGTGACTATATCAAATGCTACCCGCGGCGATTCACTGAAAAGTAGATAAAATTTTGTCGGGTTTAAAACTAGCCACGTATGCGCGCTTTCTTTAAATAAATCCTTTGTCAGGAATACTATTTCATTTGGCTAAGAAACTATCATGCCAGTACTGCGATGCAAGCTTCACTAGGATGATTGCTCGCTAAAGTAGCGGTAGCGTTTCAGCATACCGCACCATCGTCCAGAGTTAAAGTAGCACTACTGAACGCCATATGAAGAAGAAGTACCAAGGTACATACCTGCTATTGGAACGCAGATGATGAACATTCCACGAATGTAGCCAGCCTTCGCTAGTGGTCCGACGACTAGTGCCGCAAGCAAACCTCCGCTATGCACCATGGTCCAAACCCTAATCAAAACAGTAAGTAAAGTACGCTCTAGCGGTTGTTGTTCTAAATTCATCTCTTGCTATGTGCAGACAGGGGGGTAAACAGCATCTATTTGCTATTCACTAGTACTGCCAAAAGACACACGGTGTGTGAGCAAGTCTATCAGGCTTTTACGATAATGCTAGAGTATAATTCCGATGGATGAAAGTTTCGAATTGCAAGCTCTCCGTATACACGGCTATGATAGAAAGGTGGGTTAACCGAGCAGGGTAAGTTATTCATCCCAGAATACAATAAGATCACCCACACAGTTCATACCACGTGACAATGTCAGAGCCGGAGAAAGCAAATTTGCTCATAATCGCAGCATACGCGCCCTCGCATAGCAGGTCGACCAGCGCCATCTCAAAGTGTACCATCATAAACATGAGTGCCGCAATCCACTCCTGTCCTTCAGACAGCTGAACGGTGGACAATAGAAGAAAGGCCACCGTGCCTACCACCGAGGCCATAACTATGCGAGATAAAAATATGGGCAACCAGTAAACAATGATATATGGAGATACAAAATGGACATCAAGCATCTGAATGGCAGTGCAGTCGTCAAAGTGCATATATTGCAAAATTAAAGCGCTGCAGAAAAAATCACACTCAAGAGTAAGGATGTATTGCAGGAAGTGATGTAGATGAACACTCCGATTAATATGATCCCATTCCGCACTATTTTTTTTCAAGAGTATCACTGCACAACTACAGCTAGCGAATCCGTAGTGGTTATATTGCTCACGCCAATGCAGAATGGTCCCAGTCACAAATATCCATTGTAGAAGAGATAAATGGAGATAGGCTCTAGAGACACACCTATGTAGTATCGTTTAAAATAACCGGCGATAGGTATCGAGTCGCTGATGGCTCCCATCAAAGCCTAGCGGAAGAGTGAAACAAAAATCAGTTTTCTGTGAGTTAGACAATATCATATATTCAATAGAGGTACAGCACATTTATGTGCGATACATGACGCGGCTATTTCACAGAACTAGCTATCCTCAATAAATGAATACATGACTGTAATTCAGAGGTGTCAGAGGCTTGAACGAAGAATTTCAAACTACGATCCTAGGTTCCCAATTATTTTTTCTTCTAAAATTAAGTTACTACACAATCGGCGATAATCTTACTTTCATGGCCCACGGGGTCATTGCAGCTGTCCTGTACGCTTGATACTCTGAGCCGGACACCTTGAGATGTTCTTTCTACAAATATAAGAAATATAGTAACGACGACTTAAATGTGCAAAGGTGGCATTGTTGCTGTTGTTGACCAAAATTTTGAAACGCGACTTCATAAACATGCCAATCGTACGAAACAATAAAGTTCTACTGATCGCACGCATGAAAAATGCACATCATCGTAAAATTGAATTTTATCGTAATGAGAGCTGAATATTGTTCACTATTCATTCCATTAAGGGCGCTGCAATAAAGGATAATACTGATTAAGATACACGCCCTGTGATGTCATTTATACACTTTGACTGAACTGCTCAGAAAAGATACAGTCATACACAACATGGCATAAGTCTCGACAATTCATTAGAAAAAACTTACGAAATAGGGCAGCTGGCCAACACCGACAAAGGTACCAAGCGTTCCCTTGATGCCGAAATATACCGATGTCATCAGGATAACAAATCGCCAACCCACAGTCGAGTTTAATCTTCGAACATACGCAGTTGACGTTCGGATGGGAAGTTGTAGATAATCACAAACTCTCGGGCGGACGGGGAGCCTGTATCTCATTTTTGGGTAATTTTCTCGCAGTATATCTATCTGCTCTGTTTGACAAAAACGGAAATGATTTTAAAAACGATACTCATATG